ATTCAAAGGAATTGCCCCTTTGGAGAAGAGATGGGAGATGTCCTTGGACTGCCTTGCCCATGTGATGTAGCAAAGCCACAATAGTTTCCTCCTTGCCATCCTCCCCCTCCTCCACAGTCTCCTCCTTTGAAAAATGCCTGCAACGGAGGCTGACAGAACGTCAGGAGGGAAGTGGGATACGAAAACGCCAGGCAAGGGAGGGGAACAGTGCTGTCAATTACTTTTCTTCTCATGGCTTTCTGGAATGTACAGCTTCCTCTCGGCAGTTCTCCTTGTTTGGAGCCTATAAAATAAGTTTAATGACAGGGTTTTCTTTAAGATAATCAGAGGCTGTCTAATTTACGCCTCTGATGTCCATATGCAGCCAGATGTAATTCTGCTCAGAGTTGTTACATTACAGTTAGTAATGACTGCCTCTCACTGCTGTTTGGGGAGAATTTGCAATTTGTTTAACAGTTGACTGAGCAATGACCTCATGTAATATTGCCATAATCAAAGTCTGGCTTAAAGATGACTAAAAACAACCCCTTCTGCTTTTCTGGGCTATGGAGTTGTGAGTGAAGAAAGTAGCAGATCTGAATGGTGTTCCCAGGGGTGGGCTTCAAAATTTTTAGCAAGTGGGGTCTCTGCCTGGTTGCTGTGTGGGTGTGACCTAGTTGGCCCCCTGCATCATGGCGGGCGGGGGGCATTTTGGCCTTCCCTGGGCTCTGGAGGCTTTCCTTGAGCATCAAGGCGGGTGAAAACTGCCTCCCCAGGCTCTGGAGGCCCTACGGAGGCCGGAAATGGGCCTGTTTCTGGCCTTTCCGAATTTCTGGTAGGCCCGTTTTTCGCCATCTCTGAGCCTCCATGCGTGCCCTGCACTTACCTGCATCCAAAACAGGCTGTGTGGAGACCCCTCGGAGGGAAGGAGTGGGGTGGGCAGGGCCATCCAGGAGTGGGATTTGGGGGTTCTCTGAACTGCACAGAATTTTAGCTAGAGATTCTCCTGAACCCCTGCGAACCCCCAGCAGCCTACCCCTGGGTGTTCCTCATCCCGGAAGAGGGCTCAGCAACACACAACCCCTTGGTTCGAAAGATCATTGGGCTACTTAGTGATCAGTTGAAACCTCTGGCGAGAGTGATCTGTTCTCCCTCCTGTGGCAAGATCCTGGGATGGAAAGAGTGAAGCAAGAAAAAGGAATGGACGGCAAACAGCAAACAAGCAAAACTGTGGAAATTGCAGGAATTGGGTCCGTCTAGTCTAGAGAAAAGAAGGACTAGAGGGGACATGATAGCAGTCTTGCAGTATCTGAGGGGCTGCCACAAAGAAGACGGGGGTCCACCTATTCTCCAAAGCACCTGAAGGCAAGACAAGAAACAACGGATGGAAATTAATCAAGGAGAGAAGCAAATTAAGAAGAAACTTCCTAACAGTGAGAACAATTAATCAATGGAACAGTTGGCCTTCAGAAGTTGTGGGAGCTTCATGACTGGAAGCTTTTAAGAAGAGACTGGACAGCCATTTGCCTGGAATGGGATAGATAGGATCTCCTGCTTGAGAAGGGGGTTGAACTAGAAGATCTCCAGGGTCCCTTCCAACTCTATTATTCTGTTAATTTGATAACAAGCCTCCCTTGTCTTTACTTTTCAGAGTATTAGGGGAGCGTCTCTTCTGAGATGCTTTCTTCACCCCCCGCCCCACTCCTTCTGCAGACTGAAATATCTCTGACCATTATCTAGACTACGGCTCTTCCACCTGCTCTCAAGGATATTCTCACAGCGCATTACATTAAGCAATAAAGAACACTGCCACTTATCTGACAGCGATGGTGCTGCTGTACCTAGTTAAGATTGGACAAGAAGTTTTTTTTTTTAATTTGATTTATATGCCACCCTTCTCCGGAGACTCAGGGCGGCTTACAGTGCATTAAGCAATAGCCTTCATACTTTTGTATATTTTATACAAAGTCATCTTATTGCCCCCACAAACTGGGTCCTCAATTTACCTACCTTAGAAAGGATGGAAGGCTGAGTCAATCTTGAGCCTGGCAAGATTCGAACTTGCTTTAATTGCAGACAGCTGGTGTTAAATTACAGAGCCTTTGTCTGCAGACCTATCCAGGCTCTGGATAGTTCACTCCAAATCTCAACTCAGCTAAAGCTCTTCCGTCATGGGCCTTCTTTTCCAGTCTTCCCTAGGCATCGTCTGGGTAGATTCTTGTCTCAACCTCTGACAAGCTCGTGCAAGGTTTCCTAATTGTGGCAACCTTCAAATATATGTATTTCAAATGCCAGAATTTTAAGCAGTGTGAGCCGGCTGGCTGGAGAGTTCTCGTAATTGAAATCCAGACATACACTGTAAAAGTTTACCAGGGTTGGTAAATAATACAGGTTGAGTTGGGCAGGCAGAGCAAAGTTTTGACTAATTATAAAACAGTCTCCTTGGATTTTAATGATGGGAGAGGATATATCCCTGATAAAATACCTTTTCTAAGTACAATTTCTCAGCGTGCCATAGGTTCACCATCACGGGTATAGGGTCTCCTGCTCCATCAGGGCATTGGACTAGAAGATCTCCAAGAACATTATTCTATGTTCTATTTAGTCAATAGTCCAGAGATGGTTTATAATTCAAAAGAGTCATTATATCCTCAGTTACCAAATTATTGTTGGTGCCAGATCTCAGAAAAACTAATGAAAACAACTAATTTTTGTGAGAATTGCCAATCTTCTGATATTTTAGACATTTTAATTTTAAAACATGAACTATTTTTATTTCATTTGTGCATGCCCCAAGGATATTATTTGGATGGAGGGATATATCTGCCATGCTATTTCTAAATGCCATATTGTCACCCTTGGCTAATATAGTGACCTTCAAGAATTTCAAGCTGAGATTCTAGAAAGAGTGCAGAGAAGAGCAACAAAGATGATTAAGGGGCTGGAAGCTAAAACATATGAAGAATGGTTGCTGGAACTGGGCATGGCTAGTCTAGTGAAGAGAAGGACCAGGGGAGACAGGATAGCAGTCTTCCAATATCTCAGGGGCTGCTACAAAGAAGAGGGAGACAAGCTATTCTCCAAAGCACCTGAGGGCAGGACAAGAAGCAATGGGTGGAAACTCATCAAGGAGAGAAGCAACTTAGAACTAAGGAGAAATTTCCTGGCAGTTAGAACAATTCATCAGTGGAACAACTTGCCTCCAGAAGTTGTGAATGCTCCAACACTGGAAGTTTTTAAGAAGAGACTGGACAACCATTTGACTGGAATGGCTTGAGCAGAGGGTTGGACTAGAAGACCTCCAAGGTCCCTGCCAACTGTGTTACTCTGCTCTGCTCTCTTCATAAACAAAAAGGTTGAGAACAGTAGGTATAAAGCAGTACCTAGTTTCCAAAAAACCCATATTCCTGTTTGAAAAAAACAAAAGAAACCAAAGAAGAGTTGGAAAACCATGAACATTGTATCCTACCCCCCAAACTTCACAACCTATAACTTTTGTTGTTTTGAAGAGTGTCTTTCAATTGTCGAAAGACAAGCAGTTTCAGGTCTTAGAAAACTCCCCCTTTTCTTTTGCAATAGTCCTTTTAATGTTGTTATATTAGAAGGGGTAGGTTTAACCTAGCAGTGACTGTGAGAAGGATCTTAGAGTTTTAGTGGACAACCAGCTAAATATGAGCCAGCCGTGTGCAGCGGCAATCAAAAAAAGCCAACACAATCCTAGGTTGCACGAACAGAGGGATACAATCAAGATCAAGTGAGGTACTAATACCACCCTATAAAGCCTTAGTAAAACCACACCTAGAATATTACATGCAGTTTTGGTCCCCACACTATTAAAAAAGATGTTGAGACTCTAGAAAGAGTGCAGAGAAGAGCAACCAGGATGATTAGGGGACTGGAGGCTAAAACATATGATGAACGGTTGCAGGAACTGGGCCTGGCTAGTCTAGTGAAGAGAAGGACCAGAGGAGACAGGATAGCATCTTCCAATACTTGAGAGGCTGCCACAGAGAGGATGTGATCAAGCTATTTTCCAAAGCACCTGAAGGCCAGACAAGGAATCATGGATGGAAGCTGAACAAGGAGAGATTCAACCTAGAAATAAGGAGAAATTTTCTGACAGTGAGAGCAATCAACCCATGGAACAGAAGTTGCCTTCGGAAGTTGTGGGCACTTCATCGCTGGAGGCTTTCAAGAAGAGATTGGACTACAATTTGTCAGAAATAGTGTAGGGTCTCCTGCTTTGGCAGGGGTTGGGGGTGTGGGGGGGTTGGACTAGATGACCTACAAGATCCCTTCTAACTCTGTTAATCTGTTAAATCTGTTAACCTTACTAAGCATAGTGAAAGCTTCCGTTTTCATTAAGATAATTCTTGTTCATGTAAAAGATGTGCATATGTAAAAGAGGCGAGAATGGTGGAAAGTCACACACTTTCAACCATTATTTATTTTAATTGAATTGTGTTTGAACTTTATAGAATGAAGTGGTCAATCCACCTGGCAGCTGTAACTACTTCTGGTTTTGATAGTCCTCTTCACAGGAATTTGCTCTTTTTGTTGGTGCTCTTCAGACACAGAACTAACTCCTTGCAGTGATCTCGCTTTAGTTTGGCTGAGGAACGAACGGGAAGAAATTATCCCAAGGATTTCTTGAGTTGCCCTCTTCTCTCCATCTGCTGCTAACTTTGAAGAGTGATAATTTACTTCTGAGATCTATTGAACCTTTATGTTGTAAGCTCCCCTAGTGATCATTATTAGCAATTGCTACATCAGCTATTTTTGTACTGTATATTTGTACTTTATATAGCCATTGCTCCATTGTGAAAATGAAAAAAGCTTGAGTGGTGAGTCTTTAAAAAACCCTCAAATCATTGGTGACATTTCCTTAAGAGGAGACAGTCTGCTTTTAGCTGAGATAATCCTTGCCAAGTAACATATCCTCAAACTGGAGAAGTGTTACGAGGAATGGTGGATCAGGCCCAATAAAGAGACTTGAGTCATCGAGTAAAATATTTCTCTTTTATTTGCAGGTTCAACATATCATCACTTGAATACATCAGGAACTGGAACATGGAGGAGTGTGCCCACCTTTTATACCTGTGGGCGGGGATTCAGGTAAGGAGGGGTCTATGGGAGGAGCTGACCTGGTGGGTGTCTGGGTTAACCCTTGCACTACTGCGCTATAGCTGATCCCTGGCACGGGCAGAGCATTTATGCCTGACAAATCCCCCTCTAAATGCCTGTCCCGTGTCTGTAGGCCTGACTGACTGGTTGGTACCCTGGGGTGGATGTTGAGCTTGGAAACTAAGTGTGAGTGTTGCTTGCCCTGTAGGGGTTTCGTGAGTATGTCTGCGGTCTGTTCTTCTGTATCGCAGTGTATGGCCTTTATGAAACCGATTCTGGAGAGCTGTCTAACGTGCTTATACTTTATGTCTATGTGCCTTGACCTTTGCCCTACAGCGTCGGACATGGATATTTCTATGGCGGCTTTGTTATCTTCGTAGATATTTATTGGGTAAGCTGGTTCTCTCCACACGCTGGCGAGTAGGTCGTCGAACCAGATGAGATTGTTGGCGGCTTTGGAGAGGCATATATATTCAGCTTCAGTAGTCGAGGTTGCCACCAAGATTTGTTTGCCTGTGTACCAATGCACCGGACAGTTATTTAAGTAGAATATGTACCCAGACGTGCTTTTGCGGCCTTTGGCGTCTCCGGCCCAGTCAGCATCAGCGTAGCATGAGAGGATGGGTTCTTCGGATTTTTCAGGCTCTAGGGTTAAGCATGCATTGACACTCTGTTTCAGGTATCTTAGCACCCTTTTCACTGCGTCCCAGTGGTATGTGGTGGGTTTGCTCATGTGCCTGGATAGTAAATTAACGGATAGAGCAATGTCCGGTCTTGTCCAGTTAGCGATATACAGGAGGGAGCCTATGATTGACCTGTACAGCGTGTTGTCTCCAAATTCGGGTGATTCATCATGCATGTTTTTTAGGAAGTCCGCCTGCATGGGTGAATCACATCCCTTGGCGTCTGCCATGTTGCACTTATGGAGTAACTCTTCTATTTTCTCTTTCTGTGACAGTTGGAAGCCTTTTGGTGTTTGGTTGACTTGTACCCCCAGGTATCAGTTTATCCTCCCAAGGTACTTTAGGGTGAAATGCTCGCTCAGCCTGCTGGCGAAGGTGTTGCGGTTGGCTTCGTGTTTGCTGATGTATAGAATGTCATCCACGTAAACTAGGATGTATTCTGGTGAGTCCCCCTCTTTCCTGGTGAAGAAACTGTTGTCAGCTATGGTCGCCATGAATCCCATAGACTTCAGGGCCTCTACCAGGCATTCGTACCATCGTTTGCCTGATTGTTTTAGTCCGTATAGGCTCTTATGAAGTAACCAGGTGTCCCCTCTGTTGGTTTCTTTGCTGTGGGGGGCTCTGATGTATATCTCTTTGTCTAGTTTGGCGTGCAGGTAGGCGGTCTGCACGTCGAACTGGTGCACCTCCAGCCCTAGCAAGGATGCGATGACCAAGGCGCTTTTGACGCTTTCTGTTCTTACGGTGGGCGAATAGGTGTCTGTGTAGTCCTCCGGAAACCTTTGAGCAAACCCCTGGGCAACTAATCTTGCTTTGTATAGGCTTTGGCCACCCTCTAAGTTCTTGACTTTGAAGATCCACCGGGTGCCTATTGTGTTCTTGCCCTCTGGGACTTTGGTGGGGGTGTATACCTCCAGCTTCCTCAGGCTGTCCAGTTCTTTGGCCATGGCTAACTCCCACTTTGCCCTCTCCCCCTGGGGTAGTCTCAGTACCTCTTCGTAGGAGTTTGGCGTAACGTGGTTCGTGTGCACGTGCATCACGTAGTCATTTAGCCTTCTTGGCAGCTGGTTTCTGGTTGACCTGACCGGTCTGGTTGTCGTCTGCTCAGTGTCATGCAGATATCTGGCCTCTCTTTGTGTCAGTGATTCGACACTTATCTTGGGATGATTCTCTTTCCATCCCTCAACCTTGATGCCTTGGAGGTTGGGCTTGGGCCTGCTCCCTTCCTGTTTACCCACTGTCTCGTCTTTGTTTTGAGTTTGCTCGATTGAACTATCCTCACGCTTGGTGGGTACCTCATTTAAGTGTAATCTGGACCAGTTGGCTTGCTCATGGAATGCCGCTGTTCTAGAGACCACAAACCTATTATTGCCATCCACAAACCTGAAGCCCTTGGTTCCTGGCTCGTATCCCATAAACCTGAGCCTTCTGGATACCTTATCCCCTTTCTTGCGCAACTGCTTGGGTATGTGTACATCAGCAGTTACACCGAACACATGTAGGTGTGCTATCTGTGGCTTCTTGTTATACATGATCTCGTACGGTGTTTTGTCTATCACACTGGACCACGTTCTATTTAGTGTGTAGTTGGAGTAGACCAGGGCTTCAGACCAGAAGTGTTGGCCAATGTCCGCGTCCTCTAAGGCGCACCTGACCATCGTTTGCAGCGTGGAGTTCCGTCGTTCTACGACCCCGTTCTGAAAGGCGGAAAACGGGGACGACGTAAAGTGAATCACGCCTTTGGACCTGAGCCAATGGGAGAAGTCCTTAGATAGAAACTCAGACCCTCTGTCGGTCATGATTTGTTTGATTTGTTTGTTGTTTTGGGTTTCTACCCTTTTATAAAACTCTTTAAATTTTTGGAAGGCCTCATCCTTTTTTCTTAAGGTGTAGACGAAGCCATATCGACTATAGTCATCCACTATGGTGAGGAAGTACTTTTTCTTATAATTTATGGATGGCCTTAGGGGCCCTACCAGGTCCATGTGTACTAAGTCAAATATTTGTTTGGCGGCACGTAACGACTTCTTGGGTCTGGGTTTTACCTTTAGTTTTGAACACTTGCACACCGAGCACTCGAGGTAGTTTTCACAGTTTTTTATTATGACACCCTTGGTACAATTAGCCATTTTCTGTATCACGGGAAAACTGGCGTGTCCAAGCTTCCGGTGCAGCAGATGGGCACAGTCGTCATGCATTGGTTTGCCTATAGAGGGCCTCTTTTGGGTGTGTTTGTTGTGTTGTGTTTCTGGTGTCGTGTTGCCATCGCTATCTATCTCTCTCCCGCCTACCTGTTCACCCTCAGTCCTGTCTTGGTCAGTGTCCTCTGCGTCCTCTGAACTGGTGTTTATGCTGTGGGTGTAATCCTCATGGAAAGTTATGTAAGGTAACCCTTGGTTAACGGTTACTCTTCCTACATCTTCCCCATCCTTGCTAACTTTGACATTGCCTTTTGTGAAGATCACCTCAACCCCTGATTCCTTGCTAAGCTTTACTGCCGCCAGGATGTTGTGGGGAATCTCCGGGACTAGCAGTACCCCCTCTATTTTCCCTACGCCTGGTAATGTAATTGTCCCTTTGCCTGTTACTCTAACCTGGTTTTGGTCCGCAACTTTGATCGAAAAATCCTCCCTCTTGAAAGATGAGAGTAGTTTCTGGTTGTAGGTGGTGTGGTTGGAGGCTCCCGAGTCCAGGAGCCATGAGCTGGTGTCTTTGTCTTGGTGTGTGGTGTGCATGTGCGTGTGCTCCCCTATCCCATATAGAGACCCTGTCCTGCTGTCGCGTGAGCTGTCTCTGTTCCCCCTCTTATCCCTGGGAAAGGGCGAGTCTCTACGCCTATACCTTTCTTCGGATGTGTGCCTTTCCGTTTGTCTGTACCTATGCTCTGGCCTGCCTCTCTCCCTATAGTTCTTGGGGCAGTCCCTTTTGATGTGTCCCCTCGACCCGCAGATGTAGCACTCTGGCGTGTTGTGTTGTTTCTCTTGGAAGACTACTCTCTTCTCACTCTTGTGTTCTCTGGGAGGGCCGGGGCGGCTCCTCCTCAGATTATCTTCCGCGATAAGCTTGTTGGATAGCTTCTCCACGGATAGCATCCCTAGACTAACGGTGTCTAAGTGTGTCAAGAAGTTATTCCATGAGTGGTCTAAAGAGTTGATCATCACGCTTTTCATGATCTGGTCGGAAATAACTTCCCCCCTAAGGTGTAGCTCTGCTCTGGTACCGCTCAATGATACTAGGTGCTCACTCATGGGGGTCCCTGGTTTAAGCCTGGCAGAAAAGAAGTCCTTGGAAATTTGGGTGGTGGTGGACACACTTTCACTATAAAACAACCCAAACATTTTCCCTATAATTTCTGATACTGTGAGGTTATGACCAATACAGTGGTAAATTGTGGGGGATATGCTGGCAATTAAAAGATAGAATGCCCTATGGTGCATGCAATCCAGCTCTAAAGTCCATGGTCTCTCTGGAGGGTCATTAATAAAATGAGACATGTTTTCTTTCAGGAATACTACCTGGAGCTGCTGTGACCACTCTAGGATATTACCCCCATCCATCCTCAACTTGGGAAAGTCAACAGGTAAGTTCCCAGCACTAGTAGTAAAATTACTTACTGCTGGCTGCTGTCCATGGTTCCTTATGTGCCTATAGCAGCAGTAAGGCATGGGAACGCTTGCCGGTAGTTTAAAAGTCCCGCTTTGTAATTTTTTTCTTTTTTTCTTCCTCTAGGCGGAAGAGCGCATGCGCGAAGTCCATTTCAGCTCCGCCGTCGCCGAGGAAGGACCTGTTCGTCGCGGCTCCGCTGTAGAGGCCTCTGCCAGTCGGGTAGGCCTCGGCCTCAGCCTTGGGGGTCCAGGTGTGCTCCGGGAGGCGTCGTCCAGCAGCTGCTTCCCCGGAATGAAGATCCTGGCGGTGTTGGGGCTCCGGCGACGGCTGTAAGTAGCTGCCCCAATCCATGCGGTCCGGGGTGCGCGGCCTGGGCGATCGGAGGCGCGGTGTCCCTGGGGTGCGAAGGTGGGCTGGCGAATCGTCACGGGCGTCGGTGGCTCTCGGGTGGGTGCTCCGTTGCCCCTCTCCTCGCCTTCCCTTCTGTTTTGGCCTCTCTGGCTTCTCTTTGGTGATTTTGAGGCCTGGGCCGAAGGCGGCGGCAAGGGTCTTCATGGCCCTATCCACTTGCCGCTCGCTGGGGGTGTACCAGGGGTCGGAGTCGGACTCAGTCCCCTCTCCCTGGTCACTTTCATCATTGTTTATGGTCCGGCATTTTTCACGCGCCGGCCATTTTGAATTCTGTTTGCTGATTGGTTGGGGGTCAGCCATCTTGTCCGACCATGTGGACAAAGATGGCCGCCGTTTCAAATTTAGAGCGGGGCTTTGGGGCTCGGTGGCCATTGGGGGTGCCCTTTTGGGCGATCCACTCACCGAGTCCAGCTCCTCGAATTCGGAGTCCGAGCCCTCTTCGCTCCTTGCCACCTCGCGGTCGATTATGAAGCTCCGCAGGTCGGCAAGGAGGTTCTTGTCGCCGGCTCGCTCTTTCAACAGCTGCAGGACGTCGAGTCGCAGCTTCTCTTCATCTTGATCGTAGTGGTGGGCCCTTTTCCCTTTCTCGATCTCCCCCCTTTCTTCCGTCGCGGTGGCTTTGGGGGTGGTTGAGGTTCCTGCCTTCCCTGGCGAGTCCGATGGGTTGCTTTCCCGTTGCCTCGGGGGTGTCGCCATTCTGCAGGTAGGTATGGGTCCTTGTCTTGTGGCTTGGGATCTCTGGGCCTTACCAACCATCCTCTGCTACCATTTTGTTACGAGGAATGGTGGATCAGGCCCAATAAAGAGACTTGAGTCATCGAGTAAAATATTTCTCTTTTATTTGCAGGTTCAACATATCATCACTTGAATACATCAGGAACTGGAACATGGAGGAGTGTGCCCACCTTTTATACCTGTGGGCGGGGATTCAGGTAAGGAGGGGTCTATGGGAGGAGCTGACCTGGTGGGTGTCTGGGTTAACCCTTGCACTACTGCGCTATAGCTGATCCCTGGCACGGGCAGAGCATTTATGCCTGACAAGAAGTTTTACTATATAGAAGTTTTTAGCTGTTAAATGTAATGGGTGAAAAAGTGTTGCAAGTTTTGTCTGGACCCGTGACAAAATGAAAGCTGATAAGCTCACAGAGCAGTAAGAAAACTGAGTTTAGTCCTTAAAACAATCTAATAATAGACATTATGTCACAGCTTTGTTAAGCAGCTCAATCCATTATTAGAATCATAGAGTCATAGGACTGGAAGAGACCTTGGAGGTCTTCTAGTTCAACCCATCGCCCAAGCATGAGACCCTACACCATTTCTGACAGATGGCAGTCCAGTCCCTTCTTGAAGCTTCCAGTGATGAATCTCCTACAACTTCTGAAGGCAACTTCTGTTCCATTGGTTGATGGTTCTCATTGTCAGAAAATTTCTCCTTACTTCTACAGTAGGTTGAATTTCTCCTTGATCAGTTTCCATCCATTATTCCTTGTCTGGCCTTCAGATGTCTTGGAAAATAGCTTGACCCCCTCCTCTCTGTGGCAGCCCCTCAAATATTGGAAGACTGCTCTCATATCTCCCCTGGTCCTTCTCTTCACTACACTAATCATGCCCAGTTCCTGCAACCGTTCATCGTATGTTTTGGCCTCCATTTCCCCTAATCATCCTGGTTGCTCTTTTCTGCCCTTTCTCTAGAGTCTCAACACCTTTTTTATAGTGTGGTGACCAAACCTGGATGCAATATTCTATTAACTTAGTAAAGTCTTACTAAGGCTTTATAGAATGGTATTAGTACCTCCCTTGATCAGTTTCCATCCATTGTTCCTTGTCTGGCCTCCAAGTGTCTTGGAAAAATAACTTGACCCCCTCCTCAAATATTGGAAGACTGCTATCATGTCTCCCCTGGTCCTTCTCTTCACTAGACTAGCCATGCCCAGTTCCTGTAACTGTCTTCTAGCCCAACCTCTTGCCCAAGGCAGGAGTCCTTTTTCCATCCTGGACAAGTGGTTGAACAATTTTTTCTTGAAAAACCTCCAGCGATGGAGCACTCACAACTCTGGGAGGAAAGCTGCTCCATTTTTAATTATTTTCATTTGTTCCCAGGTTGGATTTCCTTATGATGAGCTTCCACCTATTTCTTCTTGTCCTGCCCTTGGGTGCTATGGAGAATAAATTGACTGGAACTTCCCTGGAATAGTCCTTCATGCACTGGAAGACAGTTATTGTGTCATCCCAAACCTTCTCTTTGATATGTTATATATACCTAGCTCCCTCAATTGTTGACTATACAATCTAGCCTTCAGACCATTTATAAGACCTTCATTCAAAGTTCTTTTTTCCGTTCTCTTCCAATTGAGCCTAAAGTCATATGAATTTGGTTCTTCACAAGGCCTCTGATGGAGTATCTCCTGGAGGTATTAGAAGGTGGACAAGGGGGGATTACTCTGCCTTTCATCATAGCACCCTCCCTTCCATCAGTCCACAGTTTCTCTGGCTTCTTATGTTCCATTCATTTCATGGGGTATAATATTTTCTCCAGCATAAAGAAATAGCAAGAGCTTACCCTTCCCCAAATGAATTGTTCCAGATGTTTGGCACCATTCCAGCTCCTTCACTTTGCTTTATGATAGATCCAACCCAAAGAACACCAATTCTTTTGCATAGCCAAGGTCTTATGGGTGACCCTTGAAAGCAATCTCATTTCTTACCTCCTTACATTCCACCCTTTTGAAGGGTAAAGGTAAAGGTTCCCCTCGCACATATGTGCTAGTCGTTCCCAACTCTAGGGGGTGGTACTCATCTCCGTTTCAAAACTGAAGAGCTAGTGCTGTACGAAGACGTCTCCATGGTCATGTGGCCGGCATGACTAAACACCGAAGGCGCACGGAACGCTGTTACCTTCCCACCAAAGGTGGTCCCTATTATTCTACTTGCATTTTTTTTACGTGCTTTCGAACTGCTAGGTTGGCAGAAGCTGCTAGGACCAGTAATGGGAGCTCACCCTGTTACGCAGTGCTAGGGATTTGAACTGCTGAACTGCCGACCTTTCGATTGACAAGCTCAGCATCTTAGCCACTGAGCCACCTTTTTGAAGTGTAGGCACCAGCATTTTGGCTTGTGCTTAGAAAGGCACTGGAAATTAAGCAAATATTCCCAGGACCAGTTTGACAGGATGCTTTCACCATCTGCTAAATGCTTCCCCTTCTGTTCCTACTTTACTCCTTTACAATAAAACACAACAAACTTTAAAATAAAGTTGTTGCGTTTTCCTTCTGAGATTCCTTGAGAGACACACACAGAGAGAGAGAGACTTGCCTGAAGCCACCCTGTGAATTTGTGACAAAGCTGGATTTTTCAGCCAGGGGCTCCTTGGCTTCCAGCGTTGTCTCCGAGGCAACAGAGTTCAATAGTTCTCCTGTGTACCTTCTCCTAGCATGGACAGGCAAATTTTCAGCAAACTCAAAAGAAGCCTCTCTCGATTGTACTGTGCTCAGCAGGAAGACAAGCTTCATCAAATCCCGTGGGGCAGACTGGGAACAGATGAACAAATCATACCTAGATTTGACTGCAGTGGAAGTAGCGTATTCTCTAGTCAGCAGTTCCAGGACAAAGGACTTTGTAGGTAGCTCAAGGGTCCGTGCGATACCATGGAAGAAAATTACATTAAAACTGTGCGCTAAGCTAATAAATCATACAGTAGCCTTGCAGAAAACCAATGCCTCAAGAAAGAACTGTCTGCTCCTGAATGAAAATAGATTAAAGCTTTCGTAGGAATCCCAGGGTTTGGCTTATTTGCTCTTTTTCGCCCATAGCATCTCTTCTTAATTCTCCAGCCCATTTTTCTGCCAAATAAATCAGGACAATCTAGCCAATAAGAGAGCAGAAGCAATATTAGGCTGCTAATGAGGCCAATTACAATATTAGAAGAAGAAAAGACTGGGTTTTTCCAATGGGTAACACAGGTTGCAGATAGAATGGGCTTTACAAGGCTAGGAAAGCAATCATGGAGAAGGCTGCCCAACCCAACTCAGAAATGAACTCCTGAATGGAGGCAAACTTCTAAGACCTTCATCCAAAGTTCTTTTTCTGTTCTTTTCCAGTTAAGCTTAAAGTCCTATGAATTTGGTTATTCACAAGGCCTCTGATGGAGTATCTCCTGGAGGTATTAGAAGGTGGACAAGGAGGAATTGCCCTGCCTTTCATCCAGGGGTGGGATTCTACTGGTTCAGACTGGTTCGGGCGAACCGGTAGTTCTGACGATCAGCTGAGAGCGAACTGGTTCGCTCGGATGATCAGCTGGGCCCACCCCACCCCCGTCCCTGTGCTTTATTTACCTATATCTTTGCAGCTGATTAGCGTGGCAGAGCAGATTGTCATACCTCAACAGTTTTATTTCCCTAGCACTAACGCGGAAGGTGATTTTTTGTTCAATTATGCATGGGTGCGTAGCGAAGCACACGATCACCAAACCGGTTGTTAAACCAGTAGGATCCCCCCACTGCTTTCATCATAGCATCTTCCACCATCAGTTCATAGTTTCTCTGGCTTCTTATCTTCCATTCATTTCATGGGGTATAATATTTTCTCCAGCAGAAGCAAGAGCAGAAGCACGCCCTTGTCACCTCACGCCTGGACTACTGCAATGCTCTCTACATGGGGCTCCCCTTGAGGAACACCCGGAGGCTCCAACTGGTCCAGAATGCGGCTGCGTGGGTGGTGATGGGAGCGACATGGCGCTCCCATGTGACCCCCCCTCCTGCGCGAGCTGCACTGGCTCCCGGTGGTCTTCCGGGTGCGCT